TCCTATCCCAGCCACTGACGTACTTTCTATCCTCTGGGTCGTGATGACCATCCGGCTGCTTCGCACGACCGATATACAAGGCTTTGGCAAAGTAGCAATGTCGCCCATGCCAGGTGTACTGCATGCATTCGTCGTGTTCATTACACCCAATCCTGCAAGCATCGAGGCTCGTATGGACTGTAGAGTTGTCTGGGAGCTGGAATCCCGCGTCGAAGGCTGCATCCCAATTCTCGCGCTGCGGATATTCGCCTTGCAAGGCAGAGAGCAGGGCGCGGTATATTAGGTTGCGATAGCGCATGAGAAGGTCGCTCTTTGCTTTCCATTCGTTCTCCCACGACCATAGCTCTTTGTAGAGAGCTGGGTCTGTTTTATGTAGGCTGATGACGGGCTCGCACCAGTGGTCCTCACCGAAGGGAATATCTTCGAGTCGATGAGGGCTGAACATGGGCCATAGACCGCTGATATCGATCCCGGCTTTGTCGTGCAGCGCCCACCCTAGTATGCTGTCGCCACAACAATCGGCTCTGATGTCTTCTCTGTAATCTGTAGTGAGATGAGGACCTTTTAGACCGAGGGCATTGCGGGGGCGATCAACGAGTCGATGCACCGCGGCTTGGGACAATATGAAGCCGGCGCCTCCGTACGCGAACCAGACTTGTTTATTCACGTCAAGCTGCGCGTCAGAATGGTACGTTCGTCCGGGCGAAGGCGATCCAAAATAGTAAGGTAGCGAGCTGTTGTAGTTCTCCAAGAGGCGAAAGACGTTGTCCCAAAACATGTATGTATCGCTCTCCAGGAAGACGTACCACTCAGCCGCCTTGTTGTGATCAATTGCTTTTTCCACTTCCGGTAGAAATTTATACTTGTCAAGCCTCCACCCTTCATGGCCGTGTCGTAGCTTCGTGCCGTGTCGACTTGCGTTCTTCTGCGCCTCGTAGACGACGTAGTCCTCTGGTGTCAGGTACGTGTTCGGTGGCAAGTCTGCGAGAACGTCGATAGTTCGGTGGTCGCGACCATAGGCATGATTGCCATCTGAAACGATCAAAACATTGGAGATGCACTTGATGACTGTTGAGAGCTGAGCATCCGTTCGTGATTTGTCGTCTGATGATCCGGTCTTCAGGATGACCTGAACCTTCGAGAGCAGATGCACTGGGAAGAGGGTGCATTCGTCTGTGGAGCCGTCCCGCCATTCAGAGTATTTTATTTTTTTGAACTGTGTCGTAGTGTTCCAGGTCCAGAAGTCCAGTCCATTGTCGGCTTGCGTGTTGAGTTCATGCGGTAACGGCGCGAATGGCTTAGGATGAAAGGCTTGCTTGCCTAGAATATCCCTTGGCAAGGACTCGATGTATGTCCAGTCGAAGAGAACGAAGAGATTGACTCCGATGGCTATGCCAATGAATGCGAACAGCAGCCGAAGGGTGCGCCCGGTGGCGAAAGACCTGACACTGGGTAAGAAGCGACGTGAGCCTGTAAGCATACTGGAGATTGTGTGTAGGCGTCGCGTCACAACACTCTACGTCATATCGAGTTCGTCGAAAGCAAAGATACGCCAGGAGTCTGGCACTGGATGTGCGAACGTCGAAAGATCGCAGCGCGTATAGGTGCACATGCTTGTCGCACAGGCTGGCCCGGGAGATTCGATGGCGACACCATGACATCTTAGGCGCCCTTCTTGGGGTGGTCGCCTTACCTGACACTCCTTCCAGCAGGATTGCGCCGCGAAACAGGGTGGTGTCAGTTAGCGAGGTTTGCCCGTTGTGATAACGACAGTGCCGCTAACCGCGCCTAGCTCGTCGGGCCCGGGCCTGCAGCCCTCCGTGCCTCCATCGCCGCTCACCAGCTCCTCACACATGCGCTCGTACAGCCGAACAATCGCCATTGTTGTCGAACAGTCAATCTGGCACGATGCGCAACGGTAATTCTTATCGCGAAGAACGTATCAAGATCATTGCGGAACCACTTCGGGCGCGGGGCGCAGGGCGCGAATGCAGACGCTCGGTGGCGGAGCAGATGCCGGCAGGCAATCACGGTGTTGGAGCAGTGCACAAGACGAGCCAGTGGAAGACCAGTACAGGATTCGCGCGAGAGTGATATTGGGGGCTATCCGTTCAATGCAGATCGCACGTGCAGCGGCATGCGTGGCAGTCTCCATTCGTGAGGCTCAGCCCGTGCCGCACCAAGCCAAGGTAAGGCGGACCGCGGGGCAAGCATCGCTATGAGATCCAAAGACGACTCTCAACACCACTCCTCAAGAAGCTTGCTAGAACATAAAGCGCTCGGTTAATCAGTGTTTCGAATCTTCCCAGGCCGTGTTCAAATGGGCATGCAGTGGCGGACGCCTCTGATCGACTGACCTTGGATTCGCCATGGACTTTTTGGAGGGGGAGACATGCGAGCGCTGCTCCGCCATACCATGGGTACGGTGGTATGTATCGAACTATGAAAAGCTGTATTTCACAGAAACCCCAGATGAACTCCAGAGCGCCGCTTGTCCAATCTGCCGGGTTATCGGACGCGGGATAGCGGGACATAATGAACCTATAACATGTCTGGAACAGAGCGGAACACATATGATGGTTGGATCCGGAACCTTCTTTTGGCGCTCGAATTTGATGCTTTATGACAAGGATGACGACGCTTTCGTTCAAGCGTGTAGAGTCCATCCAAAGCGCGTCGACTTTGCGCACGCGAAACGTTGGATACGTGCTTGCGTGTCATCGCATGAGGAGTGCAAGCCTCCGCTGGGCTCAGCTTTGCACGATCTGAAGGTGCTCGACTGTCACAATAGAATTGTTGTCTCGGCACCAGAACACTGCGAATACGTTGCGCTATCATATGTCTGGGGAAAGGCAGGACTGGAAGACGCCCCGGATATTCCGCGAATACCAGACATACTCCCTCGCACTGTGGAGGATAGTATCAAAGCTACAATCATGTTAGGTTATCGATACCTCTGGATTGACAGATATGTATGCTTACTTACAAAGCCGTTCAGATCAATAACTAATCGTGCAGTGCGTCGATCAGATCGATGCTATAGCCCAGCAGCATCAGATTAACCAAATGGGTACCATCTATTCCTCATCTCAAGTGACCATCGTTGCAGCGGCAGGTCTAGAGGAATCGTATTCAGATGCTACGTACGGGCTCCCCGGTATCACGGACGACTTCAGAACGCCGAGTTCATGCGCGGTAACCGATCGAATACGCCTCGTGCATACTCGATGGACAAGGCTTGTATCGATCAAATTATCTAATTGGTATAGTAGAGGATGGACATTTCAAGAAGGCTATCTATCGAGGAGACGGATGTATTTCACAGATGTTGGAGTGGATTACATCTGTGACAATGACCGCGGGAGTGAGGCTGCTATCGGACTCGCTGGAACGCTACGCAGCCCAGTCAAAGCACCCCTTTTCGACTTCAAGGAACAGATGATGCACGAATACACACGACGCCGACTTACGTATAGCTATGACGCGCTGAAAGCTATCATTGGCGCGCTCGAATCAGAAGAGTCAGATGACCACATCTGGGGCGTTTTTGTCGTTCGATATCACCCAAACTTGTACATGTTCCTTCATTGGCGACATTCGTCACCGGTCCCTCGACGCAAGCAATTCCCCAGCTGGTCACCTATTGGCTGGCATGGCCCAGTCGATTACCCGTATCGGGTCGATTACCCGTTTCGGAAAGATCCTTGCATTTCAAAAGAATGTACCGTCGAAGTGTGGTGCAATGGTGAATATAAGCCACTTGAGCAAGGCTTTGGAAAGCTCTCGCAACAACATCACTTGCCAGGCGCGGAGCAGTCGAAATTTCTCAGGGTAACGACTAAGATAGTAACTGTAGAGTTTGTGAGCTTGAGGGGGAAGGCTATGTATCCCCGAGAGGGACTTCATGCTAAGATCCCATATGGTGAAGCTCTCGATGTGTTTCTTTTCGCCTTCTGGGACACGGAAGAAGAGCCTGTGTGCAGATCTGACAAGGGAGGGATCTATCTGCCTTGCGCAGTAATCGTTCGAAGACCAGATACGCAACGTGGGCAAGGAGACAGTACGAGATTCGAGGACGAAAGTCAAATCCTTATATTGCGACAGCACGACACCCATTACGAACGCATTGGCTATTTTGCGTGGGACCTTATCGAATATATAAGACATGATCCTGGAGACCCGGGGGATGACGACTTCTCGCAGGACCCATATTTACTACCCGCGACTATGCACGCTCTGGATAAGCAAGGCAAAAGAGCCCAGATTCCTATTCTCGACGAAGACCTATGCAGCCATGGAGATGGTAGATACTGGCTGAAGGATGGTGTTGAAACTACGTTCCTCTTAGGCTAGCACAATTTCGAGGCCGCGAAGGAACACCGACACACAACAAAGTCTCTGTAGTTATGAGATAATACCGTTAGGTCGTGGACACGCCCATAGCGAGGTGTGGTATCTAGGGACCGCTAGCGGCTGTTGTGTGCAAGAGCGAATGTATGTCGTGCATCCTTGACGTGGAGTTGGTCGGTGGTAATTGGCTGTCAACGTCGCAACGGCCTAAAGCCATGAGAAGCATGTCTGCGCATATGCTCGGGTTGGACGGCGTTGAACTGGCGGCTGGTGTCTCACGTCGAAGATGGAGGGTATCGACTTCGCGAACTATGAGTCCTCTTCTTTATTCTTGCGCCCCTCCCAAATCGACAAATGTTGCACAAGAAATGCCATGCTCTCCATAACGTGACTCTCTACTAGTTCTGCACACGAGGAAAAACGAAGTCTAATTTCAACCGAAGCGTTTTGGGGATAGATCGCTGCACATCCGCCGATGAACGATAAACTACACCCCTGTTGTTCTGCCAACAGCACTCTTGATGCTATCCCCTCCTTACAACAGCATATCGCGTGCAAATCCTCTCACAGCCACTACCCCTTCGTCTCCAGCCAATGTAACTTCGTCCCAGGCCCTGACATAGTTAGTCGAGAGCCCTGGGGCAGCATGTTCAAAGAATGCGTTGCTTACCGATATCCATACTTGGATGACACGCATACAACCTTGTCTCACCATCATCGTCAAGCAGTGCACCGAGTTGAAAGTCTAGAAGAGGTCAGCTCAGAGATAACTCAAGACGCCGCGCTTAAATTCTCAACGGCTTCAACAACATACCAAAAGACTCAAGCTGCACTTCCTCGCCCTCTCCCGTGTACTGAATCGACTTCACCTTGTCGAATTGACTCGCCCAGTACATAGGCAGAGGGTCGAACGTGGTCGATTCCTCTTGCATCCACCGGCCTAGAACGAGTAAAGTCACACCGTTGTTACAGAGCAAGATCCCATTCTGCAGCGTAAATATCGCAGCTTGCTCGCGGTCTCCCATGCTAACGGGGTACTTTTCCTCACTATTGGCTGCGAGATTGGCGGTCTCGGTATCAGATAACGCACTAACGAACTGGCCGTTGAGCTCGATGAGAAAGCGTTGGCCGAGGTTTGTTCTCGCCATGACTGCAGGTGTGATTTCGTGGGAAGAGATAGGTGATGATAGAAGACAAGGTTTGATGCATCTCTGTTGGTAGACAAGGAAGCTTTATATATCTTTACTTAATGGTACGAGGCACGTAGCTCGAAGACTGCGGTGGATAGCTACCCCGTACATGTGCAAACCATGATACCTGAACAGATGGCGAATAGCGAACGCAAGCCAAAAGCAGAGCGGCTTCCGGAGTAATGGGGCTTTGACACTCACACAATTCATGCGTGATGTGTCTTAGCTTTGGATGAACAAAGGACGGCAAACAGCGCCCGTCGCAGATGGAGCTAGGTTCTACCATGTTCACCATGTAGTACACACCAAGCAAGTCAAGTTGAGAGTACATCAGCGCGCCATTCTATACCAGTCATTACAATCGGTTCGACTGACTAGACCCCCTCGGGCCAACACATCAAGCTTAATCCAAGCTTCTCCACCGCGGTCAACTTAGATCAAGATAGTCACCTGCATCGGCCCAGATTAGCATGCAGCATGCAAGCTCTGATTCCTTTCCGTTCGCAAGATGGCTTCACGACGCGTGTCAAGACTACAAAAGTAGGCGCCACACCAATACTCACTCGGTTCACGCAAACTGCCAAGAAGATAGTATTGTTGCAAAGGGTATTGTCGCATTGGGGTGACCATTCAAAGTCGTCACTCATTATGTTATCAACTCACATCTATCTTACCATCTTACCAACAAATATCTACCCAGCAAGCACACTTCTCTTGAAATGCGATGCGCGTCTACAACCTCTCCTTCTGGAGACCCTTCCAGCCCCACTCTTGTGCGATCAGCTCAGCAGCACGCTCACCGATACCCAGCACAGTCAACATGGGGTTGATGGTGGGCATCTCGGGGAAACATCCCGCGTCCGCAATCCTGACGCTCTTGAGCCCGCGAATCTTCAACTCGGGGTCCACAACGGCCATCTCGTCCTTTGTTACGTCACCCATCTTGGTTGTGCCAGCGGGGTGGTATACGGTGTGTGCGACGCGGCGACCGTACTCGGAGAGCTCTTCGTCGGTGACGACCTTCGGGCCAGGCGCGACTTCGCGCTTGATCCAGTTAGAGAAGGGGGCTTGCTTGGCGATCTCGCGGGCAGCCTTGAGACCGGCGACAATGGTGGCTGCGTCGTAGCCCTCGGGGTCGGTGAAGTAGCGGAAGTCGAGCGCGGGCTTGACGGTGGGGTCGGCGGAGGTGAGGTAGATGCGGCCGCGGGAGCGGGGACGGGGGATGTTGGGCGTCATGCAGAATGCGTCGATGGGGGAGTCGTAACCCATGCTGGTGATCATGTTAGTTGCAGCGCGGAAATGTGGGGTTGTTGGGCTTACCGAGCAGTGTTCAGGCAGAACGGGATTTGGTAGCAGTGAGCCATGATGTCGGCAATATCGCCGTCGCCGCCTGCCGCATTGGGGATCTCGCGGCGCAGGAAGATACCGGCGTCAGAGTCCATGGTGGTCTGGTTTGCGGGTACGGGCTTGTTAAGCTCCCAAAGGATTATGCTCTCGGGGTGGTCCAGCAGGTTCTCGCCAACACCGGGGATGTCTTTTACGACAGGGATGCCGAGGTCGGAGAGTTGTTGCTTGGGACCAAGACCAGAGAGGAGCATCAATCGCGGGGTGTCGACGGCACCCGCGCAGAGGATGGTCTCGCATTTGGGGTTAAGGGTGAACTTCTCGCCGCTTTGGAGCGTGAGGTCGATGCCGGTGACCTTGTCGCCCTTGACGTTGACCTTGCTGACCCAAGCGTTGGTGAGAACAGTCAGGTTGTCGCGCTTCTCTTCGCCGCGGAGGATGGGGTGGATGTAGGCGACACTAGCGCTGCTCCGGCGGCCATCGTCGGGGTTGTATGATACGGAGAAGAAACCAACGGAAGGCTTGAGGGCGCCCTTGGTCTTGATTTCGTGGTTGAAGTCGTGGATCACGGGGATGTCCATGGCGGTTGAGCACGAGTCGATCCAGTCGAGGCAGAGCTGGTTGCGGTGTTTCTCGTGGACAGGCTGGACGGTGTTGCGCAGGTTGTCAAGTACGCGCATGAAGGTCTTGAAGCTCCAGCCCTTGCAGCCTTGGGCTTCCCATCGTTTGCAGTCGTACTCAAACGGCCTGAAAGAGATGAGGGTGTTGTGTGATGAGCAGCCACCGAGGACCTTTGCACGTGAGTGTCGGATGTGAGAGTTGCCGTTGGGCTGTTCGGTGGTGCCGTAGTCGTAGTCGAGCTCTCCTCCGAGAAGGTTGAGCCAGTCCTTGAGCAGCAGCACACGGTCGTCCATGAAGTCGCTTGGGCCGGCCTCAATCAAGAGGACCTTCTTGTTGGGGAGATATTCGGTGAGTCGCGAGGCGATGACACAGCCCGCTGTGCCTCCTCCGACAATGACGAAGTCATACTCGGCATCCTTGGGGATGGAGGTCACGGTCTCGAAAGCCATTGTTGCGTGTGGGTGGTGGGCTTGGGGTGATGGCGAGAGTATACTTCTGCTAAAGAGAGCTTTTCACGTCAGGAGCAAGCTTATATATCCAGGCGGACTATCGCTCGAAGGAGACGATGTTGTCTAGATGGGCCGGGCGTCGCGATCGGGCGGTCGGCAGAAGGTCGGAGCAGCAAAAGTGAGCTGGCGATGAGGCTGGGGAATGGAGAGTCGTGCGCCGCTGCAAGATGTGTCGTTCGCCTTCCAGATAAGACTGTGCTAAATAGGGCCGTTTACGGTTGGACCGGACGCGTGCACGTGCTCAACCAACGCCTCAGGATGAGCGATGTTGCGACGGGTGCGAGGAAGGAGAGGCGATGGGCCGAAGTAGTGAAAACTCACACGCTGTCAGTAGGTAGTAAGTGTGATTGATCAATTGCGTCCAACAACGACTGTAATGATGTTGGCGACGACGTGGATGTGGTAACCGTGGTTGCCAGTGGAAGAAAAAAAGACGTCGTAAAAGCGTCCGATGATGTGATGGGCGCGTTGGGCCTAGCGCGACCCCGCTGGGCTGCAGCTTCCGAGCTCGTCATCCCTGTCGGTCGATGCCGCACCTTCCCCGATCTCCGGGCGGTGAGGGCGGCAGCCATCGGAGCGACGTTTTTGTGCCAGACAGCAGCAGCGACAGGAAACGACGCCATCCCGCTGAAAAGCGAGCGCTGCTGCTTTCTCTATCTTGCTCGCACCCCTTGCATATCCCTTAGCTGACGTACTGCTCGGCGACGTTCCGAAGGATTACTGATCGTGAAAGGAAGTAGAGGCGCAACAGCTGCATCCAAGCTCCCCGCCGCTATCGCCCATACAAATGTTCGTTCACGTTACATCACCGCGCCAATTTTGACCACTTGGCTGACACGCGCAGATCAAACTGTGCATAAAGATTCTCCCGGTATATTTCGCTCATCGTGACCATCGTGGCGACCAAACTCTTGCGACTCCGCGTCAACACCAGAAGCAACCCCAGGCTTATCCATTGCGCCAACAAGCCACTCACCATGTCTCTCCCATATGCGCCCCGATCCGCCTACTACGACGGCAAGCTTCAAGCAGGCTCATCTTCCTCCACCTTCCAGACGATTGACCCCGCGACTGCCCAACCCGTCGCAAACATCAACACAACCTCCAACGCTGGCATTGACGCTGCGATCGCCTCGGCGCAACGGGCGTTCCCCGCATGGTCAGCGACACCACCCATCGAGCGCGCGCGCATTCTTCAACGAGCTGCTGCCCTACTCCGCGCGCGCAATGACGAACTCGCCCGCATCGAGACCAGCGACACCGGCAAGCCCTTCTCCGAGACCTCGACCGTAGACGTAGTCACCGGCGCCGATGTCCTCGAATACTTTGCGAATCTCGTAGGCGGGGGTGGCATGAACGGCGAGACCGCACAACTGCGACCAGACGCGTGGGTGTACACAACCAAGAACTCGCTGGGCGTATGTGCGGGTATTGGTGCATGGAACTACCCCATTCAGATCGCGCTGTGGAAGTCTGCGCCTTGCCTGGCAGCCGGCAACTGCATGGTATACAAGCCTTCGGAGTTCACACCACTGCACTCCACCGTACTAGCGGATATCTACGCTGAAGCTGGAGTACCGCCGGGTGTCTTCAACGTCGTCCAGGGCGGCGGTGAAGTCGGCGCATACCTTACCAAGCACTCCGGCATCGCCAAGGTCAGCTTCACCGGACAGGTCTCGACAGGCAAGAAGGTCGCAGGCAGCGCATCTGGCGAGATGAAGTACGTGACAATGGAGCTGGGCGGCAAGTCGGCATGCGTCATCCTGCCAGACGCGGACGTGGACCAGGCAGTTGACGGCGCGATGCTGGCCAACTTCTTCTCAACAGGACAGGTCTGCACCAACGGCACACGAGTCTTCATCCCGGAAGCAATGAAGTCAGATTTCGAGAAGCGGTTACTAGAGAAGATGCAATACATACGCCCCGGCAACCTCCACGACATGAACACGAACTTCGGCCCGCTGGTATCCAAGCCGCACTACGAGAAGGTCATACAGTACATCAAGCACGGCCGCGACAATGACAAGGCAAAGATGCTCTGCGGAGGCCCTGAGACCCCGTCATGGGTTGCGTCACACAGCGACAAAGCCTACCAGAACGGCTACTGGGTCCAACCCACCGTCTTCACAAACTGCACCGACGACATGAAGATTGTGCGCGAAGAAATCTTCGGCCCCGTCATGTCCATTCTCACATACAAGACCGTCGAGGAAGTCGTCCAACGAGCAAACAACACCGATGTCGGTCTTGCGGCGGGTGTCTTCACTAAGGACCTTAACCTCGCGCACAAGGTCATTGCTCAGCTCGAAGCGGGTATCACATGGGTGAACACTTGGGGTGAGAGTCCGGCGGAGATGAGCGTCGGTGGCTGGAAGCAGAGTGGTGTGGGTGTGGAGAATGGTAAGAAGGGTCTTGAGGCTTGGGTCAGGAATAAGAGTACGCTTGTGGAGATGGGTGGGGCTGTGCCGACTGTGTTTGCGAAGTTGTAGAGAAGGTAGTGTGAGGGGATGTATGTATATAGGTGATACCAATGCAAATTCACTGCCACTATGCGGACAATCTCGGGTTGAAGTTTTGTTGCTAGTGTGAACGGGTCTAATTAGCTGGGCTAGTGATGATGGCTTTCGTGAGATAGGCTGCTGATATGTCTTTACCTTGGCTTGCATAGTCTGTACCACGTATACAACCAAGGCGCGCCTGTCGTTGCTTTTGATTCGCTACAGCTCGTCGAGCCTAATGGATTGTTATGTGCTACTACATCATAGAATAGGGTATATGCAAAACCCTCTTAGCTCTACAATCTGTACAACCAGGCAAGAATATACAAAGCTACCTTAGCTACTAGTATTAATGTATTACCTCTTCTCTTCTACTCTAAATCTGTACCTACTATCTCTTATAGAATTATAACTATAGTAAGTATAAATATAAACCTTAACTACTATTTTCTTATTAAACTTAATAGTTAATTTATTAGTAAGTTATCTAATACTAAGTCTACTAATTTTATAACTAAGTAGAAAAAAAAAGCTTAGCTACTATAAAAGACTATAACTAAGTAGTAATTTTTATACTATAAAATAAACTTTTACTTTTTAGCTTTAGTATAAGTCTACTTACTTTAAGTTATTAAATACTTAAAAAGAATATATCTAAAGCTATGCTTATATATTTAATAAGTTTATTTAATAAAGTAAAGTTAATTTAGTATATATAAGTATTAAATAATATTAAACTTAAGTCTTTTAGTATATTAGTAGTGCTAGATATATAGTAAGATAGTAAGATAGTAAGATAGTAAGATAGCTAACTTTTATATAGAGTTTCTACTTAGTATACTACTATATAAAAATAGTAAAATAAAGCTATATATATATTCTCTAACTATAATTATTAGTAAGTGTAAGAGGCTACGCTATATTAAGTAGACAGTTCTAGTTATATAATGTATAACTTAGCGCTAACTAAAGTAGTAAAGTATAAGGCTTATAAGAGGCAAGTTATACGCGTAAGAAGAACCTTTCTTCTCTTATCTTTCTTCTTCTATATATAGAAGCAAATGCATACTTATTAGTAGGCCTCTTTTCGCCTATAATAGTAAGTAACTATAAGAATATAGTCTTAGACTACTAGGCTAATATAACCTAAAAAGGTAAGAATAACTAAGATAGTTTTCTTAGTCTAAGATAATATATATATAGATAGTAAAGTACTAAGCCTAATAAGCTCTAGTCTCTCTACTAAGCTCTATTAGGCCTTAGGCCTTATAGTAACTCTTTATTAGAGAATTAGTTTATAGCTATTAACTAATTTAAATAGAATTTAGAATAACACTATATTAGCTAAAGATAAAGAGATAGTAGCTATAAGATAGTATTTAGATACTATACTAGATTTATATATACTAGAGCTAAAATAGATTAAGAATTTAATTCTTTTAGTACTTAGACTATTATTTAGTTCTTCTCTCTATAAAGCTTTAAATTAGATAAGAAATTCTAGTCTTATTTATATATAGAGCTAGTTAAGCTAGATAGTTATATAACTTATACTTTTCTTTTATACTAGAATTAGCTAGAAAAGCTAATATATAAAAATATATATTAGATAATTATTTATATTATAGAATAAACTAAGTTATAAAAATATTATTATATAATATCTACTAATATAGAACTAGACGTAAGAATAAAGAAAAGAGTATTTATAAATAATATAATTTAAGAAGTAATAGAGTAGAATAATCTAAATACTAGAGCTATTATAATAACGTGTATATATTATATAGCTTTTACTACTTTTAACTTTATAGCTCTTTAATCTTATAGCTACCTTATAGTTATATTACTTCTAGAGATCTTATAAAATTAATTACTAGAGCTTATTTAGTTAAGCTTATTATCTCTATAAGCTTTAAGTATAGCGTCTTAGATATAACTTAGTTTATAATAGATAGCATTAGCTACTAGTTTATTATAGCTTAATCTAAATATATGCGTATATACGTTTTACTAGAGAGCGTAACTATTTGTATATATTACTCTACTGCTAGTACCTAGGTGTATTTAGGTATAACAACTGCTTTTCGCGGTCTAGTAACGCACGATGCCTAAGTAGAGATATACGGCTAATATAACGAATAAGGGTATTTATTGTAGCATAACTAGTTGTTAGGCAGAGGCAGGAGGTATTCGACCTACAATCGGCGCGGCAGAAGGCTAAGCGAAGAGCGGTAGGTAATCGGCGTTGTATTCTTGTCTAAAGATGCTGCCCTTTCTCCCGAAAGGGGTTCGGAGTACTTATTTGCCCTCTAATCATGTGACCGATTACTACACCACAATGGTTAATCTGCGCATGGAGATGAGCGACTTGTTCGGGGTAACTTTAGACCCTTTCTTGAGTTCCTATCCTTATTCGCTAGGGCAACGCTTCCGACGGCCCCACGTAAGAGCTCGTACCACAGCACGTGTTGTACCTAATAACCACCTTCGCGGTTATCAACACCACCACCAGATTACCTCAGTCTGCTAGTTTGTTGTCTATCTCTCCCAAGATGGCGCGCGATATGCCTGATGCCCAGGCGATTCTTGCGCATCAGATCACGCCAGCGCTGATACTCAACCGCTCCGGCACCGTCGTCGCTGCAAACGAAGGCAGCGTCCGACTCCTGTCGCCCTTGCGACAAGACGCGTCTTTTGCCACAGAAGGCTCGTTGCTTGGCGAAAATATTGCCGATCTTGCACAGATTCCATTGCCTGGTGCTTTACCAGTTCTGTGGACCTGGAGTTCTATTCTAGCTGCTGCCATCGATATTAGCGAATCAGGTGCTGCCAATAGACAAAATATCCGCGGATACGTTTCTACGACAGATTACTGTCAAAACGCCGATAACTTTTGGGACGATGAAGCTGAGCAACAAGCAATCATCGAAAGCAATGTATACGTTACCCGGTATTCCTCACAAGCGGGCATACCTAGCGCCAACGACTCCGATGACGCTACCAGTGTAGTCAGAGCCCGAGCATCTGTTCACTGGTTATCGTCCGATCTTGACGGCGTCTTCTTGATCATCTTCAACCGGACGTCCTTGCCACATCAAACAGCGCCGGCTTCACCAGCTGCAAAGAAAGACCCAATCAATGCTTTCGAACGACAAAATGATTATCAGTCCTTGGATAGCAATGATACCTCAGACAAAACTGATACATCGGACGTCGCCTACGCTATCATTCCTCACATTATCGCAACAATGGACAAAGATGGGCAAGTTGTCAAATTATCCAAGTCTTGGTATTCGTTCTCAGGGTTGAATGAAGAACAGAGTTTAGGAAGCGGATGGATATCCACAATGTTTCCCGATGATGTCCAGGAAATGACATCGGCCTGGGCTGATGTTATCCAGCATGAACGCTCGCATTGGACGCATCAAGCTCGTTACCGGAGGGCCTCAGACGGAACCTTCTGCTGGTTTTTGATACGCGCCGAACCATATCGAGATGCCAAAGGAAAGGTCCTTCGCTGGTACGTGTCCATGATGGACATTCACGAATGGGTCGTTGCTCGGCTTAAGGCAGACATACGACGGCAGTCAATCATCACACTTTTCGCGCAAACGGATGTTATGTTGTGGGGAATCGACAAGACCAATCAAATGTATATATGCGAGGGGCGCTTAAAGTGGGACCCTAGTAGGGTCGTAAAACTTTTGGAAAGTACCAGAGGAGAACAAGATATACCGTACATTGAATCACCGGAAGAGACCTATCGCAACCCAGACCAAGAATTGGTTCATACTATCCAAGGAGTTCTCAAGGGACGCACCTTCAGTCCGATCGTGGAACATTGGGAAGATGATCGTTATTTCCGGACTCGTTTTGTTGCAGAACATGTCCCTCCATGCGTGGATGGGAGCGCAACAAGTGAGGATGTTGTGCAGGCTGCACTAGCTCTCACATTTGACATCACCGAAGAAAAGGCGCGGTCTGTCCTACTGACGGAGAACAAGAGACTCGTCGCCAAAGAGAAAGCCGCGCTCGATGCCAGCAATTTGAAGAGTAGATTTCTCGCAAATGTAGGTCACGCTCTAAACGAATCCGCGACTCAAGCTGATGATTACCTAGATGTCTCACGAAATCCGTACTCCAATATCCGGAATCATTGGTCTGAGTGAGCACCTTTCTGATTGTGGGCTCAATGAAGAACAATTGGAATTCAGCAACTCCATTGAAGAGAGCGCAAAATTTCTCCTCACTCTCATCAACGATGTGTTGGACTTCAGCAAGATGGAATCTGGTCACATGGATATTGAGCAAATACCCTTCTCGCCTTACAAGCTCATTAGCGACACACTTATCCCATTGCGACTTCAGGCAAGGGAACGAGGCCTGTCTCTGAACTTTAGGTGCGATCTCAAGCCTGATGCACTCTTCCTGGGAGATCCCTGGAGGTTGCGCCAGATTCTCACCAACTTGATTGGAAATAGTCTCAAGTTCACACAGGAGGGTCACATTGCACTTAGCGTTCACGAGGCCGGAAAGAAGGACAACCAAGTTATCCTCAAATTCGTTGTGAAGGACAGCGGAGTAGGCATTTCGGAAGAAGCGATCAAACAACTCTTCAAACCGTTCAGCCAGGCCGATGGCTCAACAGCAAGACTCTATGGCGGCACTGGGCTGGGCTTGGCAATTTGCCGACAATTAGTTGAGCTTATGGGTGGGCATATCGGGCTGGAATCCGTTCATGCAGAAAGCACCACCGCAACTTGCAAGATCCCTTTCCAGATCTACCATGGGCCAAGTCATGGTCTACTCATATCGACCGCTTTACCTGGCCGGGCAAAGATACAGAATCCTGAAGAGAACGCGAACACCAAGAAGGCTCGCCACCTCAGTCCTCCCGATGGTACGGACGGCATGACGTTCGACTCCTTCGCAATCACGAACACACCAGGGATCGGCAACCACATCCTACTCGTGGAGGACAATCCCATCAACCGGAAAGTGATCTCCATCGCATTGAAAAAGCTAGGCTTTGTCGTCTCAGCCGTATGGAACGGCCAAGAGGCACTCGATTTCCTTTGCAAGGAGTCGACAGAACTTCGGCCCGATGCCATACTAATGGACTGCATGATGCCAATTGTCGACGGATATGAGGCCACGCGGCGCATCCGCAACGACAAGACTTTGTTCAACGAGCAAGTACGGGAGCTGCCGATCATTGCGTTGACCGCTAGCGCAATCAAGGGCGATAGAGAGAGGTGTTGGGATGCAGGTATGGACGACTATCTAACGAAGCCGGCTGCTAGAGATGAGCTGAGACGCACACTGGCAAGATGGTTAGTTACGCCAAGAATACGAGGGCTTGATCGGAGCAGACTAGTAGACTAAAGTTTAGTCGTGTAAGTTTAGCTATGATGCTCACGAATTCGATGGCATTATGGCTTCGTGGATCACGTCTGATAATGAGGAGGACTTGGTTCCGATGCGGCCCCCATGACTAGCACCACGCGAAAGACGCCTCACCCTGTTCTATTGCATCTGCGAGGCTGACCAGGTAGAATAGTAGGATCGAAGAAACATGTATATATTGCGATGAACTTTCAAGCCGCAGCTGGACACCACCAATAGCCCTCGCAACCACCGGACCGAGATGTTCTCAAAGTCGACCTTTTGCCTCGCGTTAAACGCATGCCTGAACCTCGTTGCGACAGCGTCACAAGCATTTTCTAAACATACCGAGCACCCTGAGAGTTCCGACAAAGTCTCTATCAACTGGACAGATGCGTCCAGCGTTCTAGGCAGACCCGACACCTATCTCGGAAAGCTGGCTGTACCCCTCGACTATACGCTGCCCCAATCGAAGAATAACACGCTCACCCTCAACATCCTGAAAGTCAAAGCGACAAAAGAGCCAAAACTAGGAAGTGTGTTGACAAACTGGGGTGGCCCAGGCTTGCCTGCAACAGACTGGCTTTTGCAACAAGCTAGTTATGTCCTTGCGTAAGTCGCTGCTTGTCATAGAAACGCTTCAATCACAATCTAACAACTCTTCTCGTGCAGCATGACAGGTGGCCAATACGATATCATCGGCCCCGACCCCAGAGGCACTGGCACAACGATGCCCGTAGATTGCTACAACGACGAGATGGGACGAATGGTTGCGACGTTGCGTACACCAACGAGGACCAACTCTTCTGATATTGCGTTGGGCGCTGTCTGGTCTTACACCAAGCAGTACGCGGCGCGCTGTTTTCAGAACGAGGCAGTGAATGGATCATTGATGAGCACTGCTTTCGTTGCCAGAGACTTCATGAAGGTTGTCGATGCTTTGACTGTGGAAGGCGAGGATGGTCTTCTCCGGTACTGGGGTGGGTTAAAAATGAGTCGCAGTATATATGGATATTGACTGATCGACTCCAGGAATATCCTACGGAACGTATCTTGGCCAGGTCATAGCTGCCATGTTCCCAGAGAGGGTCGAGCGAATGATGCTGGATGGTGTTCTCCATCCGCTCGAGTATCAGCAAGGATGGTACAGAGCTGCCTTCAGATGATTGCGGCACAAGCTAACCGAGACCTAGGGAGACTGGCCCGGCTATGTCATCGCCCATTGCATTGATGGAGTTCACCAAACAATGCATCGATGCCAGACCCTCTTGCTCCCTCTTTCGCCCCAACCTCTCGTCCTCCGCACTGTACGAACAAATCCAAAGCGTCGCCGAAAAAGCCAAGCGCGAGCCAATCGTTATGGGCCCCAACGTCACCACCGATATCGTAACCTACGAGAAGATCGCCGAGGCCAGTGACACGGCTCTGCGCATGGGTCTGGCGTCCGGGTCTTACTTGGCAGGCTATCTCAACAGCATCATGGTCCACGAGACCCCAGAATACAACCATACCGAATATCTGCTCAACCGCTCCTTCATTGTGCAGGATGCAGCGGTCAATGCAGACAACACGCAGCTCATCCGCTGCTCCGATGCCATGTTCCGCGCCGACGAGCTGACCGACATCGAGGAACGCGTGCAGCACATATCCGAATTGGGCGACTGGAACAGCGATTACATCATCGGCTCGTATATTATGTGCTCGCAGTGGAAGGTTCAAGCCAAAGAACGGTACGAGGGCGACTTCAAAGCCAAGACGAAAAACCCCGTGTTGCTCATCGGTTCGCCATATGACGTCCGCACTCCGATCTCTGGGGCTTTTGTGGCGAACAAGATACTGGATGGTAGTGTTGTGCTTCAACACAACGGTCTCGGGGTAAGTTGAAGAGCATTTATTTGCTTCGTGGATGGTTGGGGTTGATTCGAAAGAGACAATGGCTAACGAGATTGGTAGCACACGGTTATGCACAGCCCCGGGACCTGCGCCATTATCGCAACCGCTGCGTATTTCGTGAACGGAACTTTGCCGGAAGAAGGGACGGTGTGCGGGCAAGACTTTGGTATCTTCTCTGGAAAAAGCTTGAATGATACACTCGATCCTCTTGATGAGCCGTAGTTTTTCAAGATTCGGAGTGTGAGACTTCGCGGGGGCAGCGCCGAGACGATGGAAAAGGTGAATTTTGATTCGGTCATGGGATTTGGATGGCGTGTGGGAAGCCGATGGCGGACTATTGCTCCGGTATGAAAGCTGGAAAAAACATTTCGTGGCTGCTTGTAAATCTCCCCAATGTGGCTCATTTTTACCGCGCTGCTCTATTCTCTCGCTCCTCGATAAGCATTGTGAGACGCTTGATGTGCCGCATATGACTACTCATTGGGAGATAGAGAAGCTCGAGATACCCCATGTTCTACGTGCATTCTTCTCCCCAAATTTGAAGAGGACTCCGTTAAGTCTGACATATGCGCCGAGCGAGATCGAAGTCTGGCCTGCGCGAAACTTATCGTGCAATGGAAATATGCACAGCTTGGGGCCCATGGTGTCCAGAATGACTCTGACACATAGACGCATCCGGCCATTGCAATGATCACAAGCCCTGTCCTTGTCTCCTTCGGCTGAAGTGTACTTTGATGCGCCTGTGCCGCGGTACAGATAGTGGCAGACACACATTCCCCTTTGCATGAAGCGTTCTGCATCCCTCACTATTGACCGATACATTGTCGATATTTTAGGATGCGACATGTAGACTCGATTGAATATTGCGTGGATAACTCTACCGTCCCCAGTTGATAGGTCATGAAGAGGTAGCCAGGCGCCACCTCCGAAGCTGTTTGGAGCCCATACGCCTATCCTGAGTCTGGGATCTGGCTCGGTTGCGGAGGCTGCGGGGAATGTAATGAAGTTCACGTCCGTCGCAGGGTTTTGGTCCGCGTACAGCACCACTTGTGGCGCTACTGTATTGCTTTCTTCCTCATCTTTAACAGGATCTTCTAGATCGATGACTGTCGGAAGTATCGCGTGGCGATAGTCGTATGGGTGTATGACGTTGTCCGCTTCCCACATGTCACTCTCGTAATCGTCCTCGTTCTTGTCATCGTTCTCGTCATCACGTAAGTCGATGGTGTCCAACGATGAGCCACCAATCGGTTCATTTTTGAGTGCCTTACTAGCAGGTTCCTGCCGCTCGCTATCTGTATCATGAATAGCGCGCTTTCGCTTGGCCAACGAAGGGGTTGCTGCGGTTACTAGTGTCGCGTCTTTCCGAGGTGCGATAAGGGCAGAACTCAGGACTTCTGTGGTGATGCGTATTAGCTGGCGCCTCATATACCCATGATTGCATATTTACCAGTCTTTGGAATTGTCGCCGGCTCGACGTTCGGATTCTCTTTAAGAATATTGAGCATCGCGCAGACCAATCGCTCTCGTACCTTCCGGTTGGTACATCCGGTTATCCCTTCGACGGCAACGATTTCCAGCTCTTCCCAGTTCAGGTTATCAATGAGCCTCATGCGCGCATCGGCGAACGCTTCATTACCGGACAGCGCAAGCAGCGCCTCCAGATACGAGCTCGTCATCGTGTAGACGCGCACACGTGAGGGTTGCTGTGGTGCGAGGTGAGTAGCCGGCACCGGATGTTTGTTGATGACGCCGGGCGGCATTCCCCGGCGGAGCTAAGGACTAGCCGTCGTCTGAAGCTCGGACCGACGAACACCAAAGGTTTGCGAAACCGCATCGCATTATGCCTTATCTCCCTCACACAGCTTTGTATCTCACAGTCTCTCAACAATGATCTCAAAGACAAGCTCGCGCGTCAGTAGAGGGATTATATCATTCTCAGTAACGTTAATGACTCTAAACGTTCGCCGCATGAGGCAGCCGGTGGTGTCGTCATCGTTGAAACCACATTTTGTCTTCCGTCTCTCGTCCATTTCCTTCTAACCCCCCTTTATCTTTCCCACGATACGGCGGAAGCATGATGATCTACGATATGGTCGTCCCGTTCAATTCGCAGACTGAACACCCATCTTCGGCGATTGATCGAAGGAGGTGGCCTCGAAGTCTACATTGCGTTAAAATTTTCGACAACTTTCGTTTTGAGACTAATGTAGTCTCCAGCATACCTACAATTTCTTTCCCGCCGCCTGACCCCTTCGTCGTTATCCTCCAATGACCCATTCAGCAATAGAATGCAGCGACTTGTCCTCGAGGCATGCATCGGGTAGCGGGTAGACGCAGAGCTTTGTACCGAAGCCATCAGCTACGACCCGTGCACATAGGCGCTTTGTGCGTATGCAGGTGTCGCAAGCCCTATGCTTGTTTCCAAAAGCCTTCTCAAAGGTCATTTGAGCACAGTCTTTCTGCCACATGGCGATGTTGGCGCATTTACCTTCGGTGAAATAATGTGCTACAAACCCAGCCACCGCTCTAATGTCGCGTGCTTGGCTTGGTTGAAAGCGAAGTCTGTCAAGAACCTTGCTAAGATACTCTTACCCGACTCAACATCGCTGAGCGGCTGCCATTCTTCAAGCCCGACAGCGTTCACAACCCATGCACCTATCTTGCGTACGGGTATGTCGAAGGCTGTGGAGCGTATGTCGATGACATTGATGTTGGCGTTGGCGACCGCGGGAGCGTCATCCCGTAGAGCGTTATCAAGTTTTGCAGTCATACCCTCCCAGTCTTCATCGTCGTCTTCGTCTCCATTGGAGAGGCTGCTGACACCGTCACATGTCGCGTCGAGCGTGGGCGCTTTCTGAACACGGTCGTCGGATGGGTCTACGTTTTCCGTCGCTTTCCGCTTGGTTTGGCGCCTCGGTAGTGCTATGCCAGAGGTTGGGGGAATATGCGCGGCGGGTGCAGGCGCGGGCGTGGCTTGTATGTTGCCAGGCTGCCGGGAGTCTGTGATACAGTAATTCAGTGTCTACTTCTCACTCACTGCTTTATCTCTTACCGTTCCTTTCAATGGGCAGCTCAGATGTCGCCCGCTCTTCTGGTTGTTGCAGCGAATCGAGCATACGGAGACACAATTGCACGAATGCTTCGTCGGTAGTGAAGCGCTCCATACCTTCCTGAATCAAGGCACTGCGCTGCTCGCGACTGAGGCCTTGAAGAAGTAGCAAGCGCGCATCGTCGAAGCCATTCTTGGTGAGGTGACGCAATGGCTCGAGGTAAGATTTCGCCATCGTCAGTGCAGTTGTGGATTGGGAATGGAAAGCGAGTGGAGGAGAAGTTGGCTTTTCGACATCTAAGCAGACGCCATACGCTAGCGGCAGAAACGGAGATACGTCAGAGCAAACGGAGCACCGCCAGGAGCACACATGACAAGAGAGACTATCCAGTCGTTAAGATTTGACGGTATCCATGCGGCGAATTGCGACCCAATATGAACGCTATTATCACCACCCCAAATTCGGCTGCGCGACAAAGTCATACACAAACACCTGCTCGAGCAGCGGGTCCGTCTCGTTCTGCCTCGATGTCAGCTTCAGCACTTCCACAACGCCGGAGACGTCACATACCTTTAGCTTATCGTGCGTCGGGTCTTTATCAAACACCTGTCTCGCGGCTTCATCCTACTCATTGTCAGTACTCGCGATACGGTCGCGTCACCATCCATTCCATACCTTGAAGACTACAACGAAACCCAAGTCCCACACACTCTCCCGCTTCACATTTGTCAAGTTCAGGGGCGTATTCAGTGGCCTCCCTCCCTTCGGCCCTTCGACCAGCAGTTCTGGATGTTCGGCGTACAGCGCGAGAAAGGCAGATGCGCGATCGCCCTTTTGCTCCGCGGTCACATTGGGGAGGAAGCGAAATGTCGCTATGCGCGTTACTGGGGATGCATCAGTAGAGTTGGGCGTTGATGAGGACATTGTGAAGGAAGAAGCAAGGCTGAAGAGGGCAACGAAGGCCGTGAGGAGGCGGGAGTGGAGTTGCATTGTGCTGAGATAAAAGCGGCGGGGTATGCGCTTTAAGCAATGTAAGACGGAACAATGCTGTGCGACTTCAACCAGGGCCTAACACCATAAATGAGGAAAGCCGTTGTGCATGCAGTCGGTCGCGATGCTGACCGCGTATTGGTGCGCTAAACTTTAATCTGACCTGCATGCGGAGGTGAGGATACGCGGGCGGAGAGCCGAAGTCACCACGTCACATTTGCATCGACGCATGTTAACTGTCTTCATCAACTTTTATTATACTATCACTTTTGAATATACATATGACATTACCAACGAGACAAGTTTGTACCGAACGCAGTAACACAGGGAATAATAAAGAAAAGGAGGAGACAAGAGTATACAGCTGGCCAGCCATCGCGAAGAACAGAACATCCAAACATCGCGCCAGATTCAGAAAAGAGATGAAAGAACTGTAGGGCAAGCCTTCTTGACTTGCACTCAGTGCGACAGCGATTATCGAGAGCCCTGTGAACTTCCAGTCGACTCAAGATCGCTCGACGATGAGGGTCGGTTGGGGGTTGCAGATGAGCCAAGCCAGTTTTGTGGCCTTGACCTCATCGCAGCTGGGTGATGGAAGCACTTTTGTGTTCCAAATATCTCCAGCTGATATCCACCAAGGGTCTTAGTGGGAATTGGCCGATGAGTCAAGACCTTTGGCCTTGCGCTCATCCCGACCGGCGGTGCAAGCCTCTCTGGGCCTTCCACTCATCTCGGTCGTTAGCTGTCAAGTCTCTCTGGATGGATTCAGCTGAGCCAATGAAGCAGGTATTATCCCGGTGGGCGCGTCTCTCTGGGCGCGGCGACGGGGTGGTTGATGAGGTGAGCTCTTCGAGCTTGCACCTGGCCGACTAGGTGGTGAAGTCTCTCTGGACTTTTGACCACCTTGAATGACGGCCGTCGATGTTCTTTGTCATGATCGGCCGGAATGTATGTCGGGATAGCTTGGATGGACGCGAGCTTTGGGCATGGGGGTAGACGGGGAAAGCTCTTTTGGCTTTTGCTCGAAAGGAAGGTCATCCTAATATGGCGGAGATGCGGCTCGCGATGGAAGCCTCTTGGACTTCGATGAATGCGGGTTATTGGTCTGGTGTTTTGACGGGAGATCCGCCCGGCGACTGGTGGAGATAGCCAGGACGATTGCGCTCTCTAGATCTGGCGACGACGAAGCACCGAGGTACGACGCTGGGCGCTACTGCGCTTTTGATCCTTTGCGTCCTCATTGTGGCGAGCTTCGCGTTGTTTTGCGACCACCTCCTTGGTCACGAACTTCTTGTTGCGACCCTGGCGCTCAACCTGCTCTACTTCGTCTGTGAGGCTGGCGGAGCGACGGCGCTTAACACCAACAGAGGAGGCGGAAGATGGGGTAGGAGATGGAGCTGGAGGGGCAGAGGGCGCGGAAGCTGACGGGGTGGACGATCCGGCAGCGGTCGTCTTAGCCTGGGACAGTCGAGCAGAGCGACGCGGGTTGATCTCGACGCGTCCGGACGTCTGTGAGGTCGCTGAACCGGGAGGGCTCAGGAAGAACTGACTGCCGAAGCGGCTGCTGGGGAAAGAGTTCGAAAAACCTTGGGTCTGACTGAAAGGGCTCTGCGACCTGCCCAGAGTCTGCTGCGACTCACCAAGGTATGTGGTGTCAGGCGTTTCCTGGAACTCGTTTTTGACACCTGCAACTGAAGACTGGAAGCCCGAAGAGTTAGACGAGCCGATGGAGCTATGGAAGCCGGAGGGGTTGTCTTCGACCTTGATCGCGGGCGCAGGGGATGGTTCTTGCTTGCTAGCAGGGCGTGTCTTCTTGATAGCGTCGAGGTTGTCAGAAGTGAAGGAGACGGCTTCGGGGTCCATCTCTTCGAAAGCGTTGAGGGTGCACTTGGCGCTTGTGGCCGTGGCCTTTTCGGACTTGATGGCGGGCGCAGGCAGAGACTTGGAGTCGACGGTGCGATGGCGCCGGGCGTCGCTGCCAACGCTCTCTTCTACCTTGACGAAGTCGTCCTTTGCGATAGCGAGGGGTGCACGGTCAATGGTCTCTTCTTCACCGACATCGAGATAGTCGTCGGCGCGCTCCTGAATCAGTGAGGTCGGCTTCATGGTGTTGGCCGATCCAATCTTAGTCTCAATGGGTCGATCGATCTCGACCTTGACGGCAGGCTGTTTCGCGAACTTAACGGAGTTCTGGATCTCGGCCTGTGCAGACTGCTCTTTCTTGACCTTGGTCGGCGCCTTCACAGCTGAGACCGACTTCTCTTTCAGAGGCCAGCCCTGCAGCAGCGAGTTCACGCTGACGGGCATCGGCGGTTGCAACGTGGATGCCGAGACTGGAGCGCTCCAAGGGACGTCCATGAAAGACTCGTTGATGTTGCGAGGCTTGCCGAACCGCGAGAAGGTGTCGAGATTCGATCGATGAAGCGTCTTCGCGGGTGCTTTCGAAGTTGCGCCCTGGTCCTTGAGCTGAACTCTCCTGTCGCGAAGGCGAGCACTGTTGTCGAGGTCCGCTTGGAGGTTGGGACGCTTCGGATCGTGGGGGAGCGAGTAGGGCTCAAGCTTCTCGTCCAAGAACTGCTTGAGCTCTTGGGAGCAGCTGGGCGGCAGCGTGACGCCGTGGTTCTTGATGATGTCCTTGATTCCGTGGAAAAGGTCGACGGGCCTCTGCTTCAGCAAGTAGGCTCCTATGCGATGTCAGTAATTGAGGTATCCGGTAAGTGGCGCGGACGCGGATGTACTTACCGGTGACGGGACGCATCTTGAGCGCGGCCTGCTGGTTGCTGGAAGGGGTGGAAGACATCGTATGAGTGGACTTGAAAGAGTGTGAAGTAGATGGATGTTGACGAAGAATGGTGGTTGGTAGTGTGCTTTGGAATGCGAGCGGCTGTGATAACGCGCAGAGTGCAGGTAGCGGGTGGTATATAAAGACTGATGGTCTGAGCTGTCGCGTTGCTTTGTAAGAAGCGGGGCGTCGCGGTCTTATCTTGAACTGGTGTTGTGATTGCCTAGACGCAAGTATTCACTATGTGGTTATGGGTCGCAAGCACAATGTGAAGCGCGATGTCGGCGCAAGCGACGCCGGAAGCAATGAATGTGTCGCAATCTCTCTAAATCGCGCATCCAAGCACTTCATTGCGGAAGTACCCCTCTTTGTATCGCCGGGTGGGTCATAGAGGTGACGATGCGCGCAGTCACGTGTTGTGACATTCACTGCGACGTTACCACGTTTGGTGTTCAAACCCGCAACCGACGTAGCAAACCCGTCGCGCTGCTTCCCCATCTACAAAATACACCTACGGAAAGGTCAGCGCAATACCTCGTGCTATCGGCGCAGCCTCAGTATACTGACCTACCACATCCCCGTATATTCAAAGCATGTACCAACTTTTTAGTCCCGTATCCATGGTTCTGCGATCAGAACGAAAAATTGTGAAGTCGTTTTGGCGATGCGCATTCTGCTCGTTCGCACGCCAGCTCTCTTCCTCCATCTTCTCGCAGGGTCGCCATCACGGTAAGGCAGTGACGTTGGCGCAGGCGTTCGCACTTCCCTATTCCGATTGAATCGCGCGTTGAAGTTCTCGCATTCACCACATACGGCAACCACCACCTCGTCCACCACGATACGAAGTGCAGTCACCCACCTCCTCTGTACACTCCGCACACCATCTTCGCGTTCCGTTGGTACATTATCGCGCAACTGTAGTCAGCAATCTTATAATAATATTACACCACTTAGAGTAGTCACAGCACTCATTGTATACCTCAACATCCAAGATGGTCGACAAGATCGGGCGCCCACGCAAAGCTGTAGGCAGCAACGACCCTTCCGGAAAGGGCGATAGCGCTCCGAGAGGCCGCCAACAACGCGAGGCCTCCTTACATACATCACAATACTACAGCGCTCACGACGGGTTTGAAGATGCGCCCATGCTATCAGCACTAAGCGCTTCACAACAGCGCGATTTTGAAGAGGCGCAAGCGGAACCAGAGCCACGAGCTCGTCCGGCCAACATCCGCACCAGCACCGCCACTGAGTCGCGTATCGGTGCCGACGAAGACGAAACCCCCTTCCAGTCAGCATCCGCTTCGTCGTCCTCTTCATCAAGCTGGGAAGACCTCCCATCGCCCCAAACCACTTCCCTTCCGACCGCCACACCCTTTCCCGGCACCTGGCCTGCCGCCCTCCACGACACCAGCGCCGCGCTGTCCGAGGTCTCCACTGCGACCCTCTCCTTCACCAGCGCCATCGCATCCTCGGGCTTAGGCCGCGCATCGTGGAGTATCGGCGCAGCAACTCTTTCCTCCACCAACCGCGCGGCCCTATCTTTCACCGCCTGGGGCATGGAGAAGACAGGAGTCATGCCGAATGAGCTTCCTCGGCCGATGAGGAGGTGGATCCAAGGGAAGGAAGACAGGGACCGAAGGAGAAGACAGGCTGAGCAGAGAAGGAGAGAGAGGAGAAGAAGGGAACGAGATGGACAGGTGCTCACTGGAGGAGTGGATGAGGAAGGGGGTTATGTGCTAGCGACGCATGAGATGGATGGCACGCTGAACTTCGAGGGTAGGGGGCCTGTGGATATGCGTGAAGAAATTGGTAAACAGGAAGGAGAGGAGGGATTCGCGGCGGGAGGACCAGAAGAGATCGAGGAGCGGGGGGCCGAACATGGAGACGATGGCCTTATGCGAGTGTTTGAGTTTGATGATGATGAAGACTTGTAAGAGAAGGTGGTAGATAGACGAAGAAGCATGCGAGATAAATGTAACCATGACACTATATAATGAAGCCTGCTGACACTGCGTCATGCGCCTAGAACGAGATTGCTCGTACAAGACCGCATGTCACCCATTCTGTCCCCCATCCCAACTATGCCACAGATCTACAAATTAACAAACTTCGCAGCATTGCACTGCGTGTCACTCGCAATCGGCTTCCCATTCAATGCAATCTTGAGATGTCCCTCCCAAGTACCCCCATGGTCCATCTTAAAGCAAGCAGCATCATACCCATTTGCCTGCATCCACTTGAGTTCGCGCTCAACCGCATTCCTAATCGTCTTCGTCTCCGAAGTTGTGTCGCACTTCGGGCCCGAGGTAGTCGCGTAGTACTGCCACACAGCGCCGTCGACGTTGCCAGAGATCACGGAGCAGCTGTTGACATCGGATTGGCCTTTGATGTAGACGGCGAGGTAGTTGGCAATGGAGACGATGGCTAGGGTGGCGGTTCCGCCGTTGCTGACGAAACCGGCGGCGACTTCAATGTCGGTGCGGCGGTCGAGTGGGGCGGAGACGTCCCTGGAGTCGAGTAGGGCGTAGCTAGAGCTTTCATGTCAGTGGATTGCAACAACCGATGTATGTCAAAGGGAGAAACGATGACTTACTCTTTCTCGGGGGCACCGATAGCGAGAGACTCAGCAGCTCCGAGCAAGCAGAAGATGTGGGCGAGTTGAAAACGCATTGTGAAGAAGTGAGATATAGCGAGATGGGTATCTTGGCTGTGTATGGTAGCTTGAGAGGAACTGTTGTGATGGGATGATAACCTTCATCTTGACGCGTCGATTACTTATATACATCTTCAAATGAACACAACCTACATCGGGCCTGCGCATTACCTCCTCCCTTCGGACACATTCAAGCTCTCGACAAGCGTTTCTGCCTCGTGGGCCTGAGCTTCGTGAGGCCCCCAAACATACTGCCCGCCTTGATCACAAAAGAAGAGAGGAAGTTCAATAGACGGCGACGTCAATCCATGTCGCAGCGCTGTGTGAAAGGACCGAGATAGATGATCGCAGGATGCCTGATGTACGATGCAAGAAAGTAATCAAGTGTCGCAGTCAAAATAAGCGCGCATCTACAAAGCTTATGCCGATCTTGATCGGTCTTGGTTTCAAGATCCGGAGGGTCGGTCGGCGCAAACGTATGGTTCTTTTACGGACCGATCCGGAACGCCTTAGATACACAGCCTCGTGCGGCTATGCGCACCGACTAAACATGGAACGCCTGAGCATTACTGACGTAGATAGTCTACCGGAAAGGGCTATTTTTGAGAAGCTTAGCTTTGCGGGGGCTAAGATCGCTGAAACGACAAGGCAAGATGGGGTCCAACGTCGTGATTCGGCCCGCCGCACGGACTGAGGAGGGAACGCCTTGGAGACGGCGAAGTGCAACACCATGATCGACCTTGTATAGACGCAGATCCAAGGAGGGCGCCTTACACATACAGCGCTGTGCGGCGGTATACACGGGATGAAAACAAGATAGCATCGGTTCACTTGCTCGCGGAGACATGCATCATGCCTCTATCTAGTATACTAGGGTCACGTCGCAAGGCGTTTCTCTCCAACCTCGTTGTCATCAGGCGTGCATCGAGACAATTTGTGCTCGACTATCACCATGTCAATGATCGAAACGACTCACCATATGCGAATATATATATACCGGACAAGACACCCAGATCTATCACACCATCCTCAATACACAAGCATCACTACTCTACTCTACTCTCAACTCTTACAACAAACTCCAACACCTCCTCCTACTACCCACCATGCGTTTCTCAACCATCGCCGCTACCGCTCTCTGCCTCGGCTACAATGCCATGGCCATTTCTCTTCCCGAGCGAGAGGTGGCCGCGCTGCCAATCTCAGAAGAGGAGGCACAGTCGAGGTATGCTAAAGAAGCCTTTTCCAAAGCATTCCCCATCCCATACTAACAGTTCACTCCAGCAACGACCTCGCCAAACGTCTCTCCATCGAAGAGCAGGTCGCCATTCTGGGTGCAGGCGCCGTGGTCGCGCTCAACGTGAACGCAATCGCGACCTACGTCTCCAACCTCATGAAGGCACAAAGCGATGCCAACACTTGTGGTGTCATCTCCGGCACTGTTGATGGGTACGTCTCCTATCTCGCCTCTCCATCCTCATCCTATCTCAGCCGCTGACGTATCACCCGTGCAGAGTAAACTACCAATACCACGCCGCCACCACCGGCAAAAACTGTGACACAACCGCCGAAGTCAAAACCATGAAAGACGCTGTGTCACGCGGTCTGGAATTCATGAGTACGCACAACATCAACCAGGCGTGCTTTAACATGCAGCATGGCGGCACGTGGAGGGGATTGCTGCAGTTGGCGAGCGGGGATAGGCAGATTATCAATGGCAAGTGTGATAGTGTTACTTACACTTTGACTGTTACCTAGGATGGTAGGGTAGCGGGGATAATGAAACGGGATAAGGATGGGGTAAGAGAGAGTAGGAAGGGCTAGGGTAGATAGGTGTAAGATTGAGTTTTATGTTGTCACCGTGTTTTGAATCTTTCTACCTGTTTTAATTGTTCATCTTTCTTCGATGCATGTGCGTCACTTCGCCCGTTTGCACTTTCCTCATCTGCGCAATTCCACCGCTAGCTCCGTTGCGCCGCGCCGCGCAGTCAACAACAACACCGCTCTTTCTTCTCTCCACCTTCCACCCTACATTGCCTTCCTTAGCGTTGCTCGCCATGTCGACCATCGACGCCTACCTCAAGGCCTTGCTCACGCTTTCCGGAAACGAGCAGCTCGCCACCGCCCGTCAGAACCTCCTCCAAGGCCTCACCGACGACGACCTTTCGGAACTACTCAAGAAAGCAGTAGGAAGAGAATTTGCACGCGGAGGCTTGGAGAATATCATCTCGCTTATCTTGGATGTCATCGCTAGGGACCCGGCCTCAAACAACGGTGACGATACCAGTGTGTCTCAAGCGACAGCTAGCCTTAACATGGAGCAAGTGTAAGGAAACAAGATTCAGCAGCAATGTGAGTAGCCCGAAACGGGTTTTTTAGCATTCATCTAACCATGAACAAGCTCTGAACGAGATCATGGTGATGAACGATCATCCAGCATCAAGCGGACCAGCCATGCCGGTAACAAGCAAGCGAGCGCCTCCACCGTCTCCCGGCGCTGTTATCAGCAAACGTTCCAGACTCAATACGCCGCCTGTAGTCGCCACGCAGGCTGGTGGCTCCGCTCGAAACGTGAGCCTTCGACACTGTGAGACGGAGCAGATGATCGACAACAAGATCGTTCCGCAGATTGATATCCTCCAGTATCCGTACTACAATGTTTATGAGGACACCAAATTGACTACCAAGTTCGTCTCAAAGTTTGATGCAGATTACCTCTCTACCGATCTCCATGTATCAGAGTGGGGCAAGCTGCTTAGACTACGAGAGAAGGGTGTCGCCACCGGATGCTGTGTCAACGATACCGTCATCATGAGAGCGAAGCAGCCCGGTGAACGGACAGGACACATCGACGAGGCCTGCGATCGCTGCATTAGGACGAAGCGCTTGTGCGCTCGGCTAGAGCAAAAGAAGCGAGGGATCACGCTTGTCTTTTTCCCCTTACCTCAAAAATATCGTCGTGATACATGGATGAACTGTTTGGACTTTTGGGTGCGTCCTTGAGCTCTTGCGGTGGATGTCGCTGGAATATGAGTACGATTAGATTGATTAGAGAAAGTCCATTCACTGGGATCTTGCGTTACAAAACCAACCACGATGTATACATAGACTTTCACATCGTGATCTGAACACAGAGGGGGCATTGTAGTCTTCTGGGGTACATTCTGATCGATGGCTGTGTAGATAAAAGTCATGATCAACAAGTTCATCATACATCGAGGACCGGGGGAAAGTGAATGAACATCTCAACAGCATCTCTTCTCTTCCTATTACCGTGAGTAACGTGATTATGCGGAAAGCCTCATTCCAGAACCTATGAGCAAGTAAAGGTACCCTCATCGTCGAGTCTCTCACCTGCTATCCTCACGCATATCTCCACCCTATCTTTATATACCGTCTCCCATCTGTGTTCCCTTCTTCACCCTCTCATCTATTCATCACTACATCCTCCCTTCTTCTACACAGCTACCCAAAACCCCGGTTCCGCTGATCCCACCACCATGTCAACCGCCAAAGGCTACCACGATGCGCTCTTAGCCCTCTCTGGCAATCCCGTCTTCGCCGCCGAACGAGACACTCTTCTCGCTAGCATCAGCGACAACGAACTGCTCGACGTCATCACCCACGGTCTCAAGACTGGTTCTCCTAGAGAAACTCTCAACGCCATCGCGACACGACTACTTGATGGGCTTGCGAGGGCTCCAAAGGTCGACGACGTGGTGGTGCCGGGAAAAGGCAAACATGGCGACGATGATGGTGATGATGATCATGACAGCGGCGGTGGTGGCGTCCGCAAGAGTGGCGGAGGTGGTAAACCTAAAGTGCAGGAAGTCAAAAGTAAGTTGAATCCCAATTTGAAGACGATAACTAAGACCCAGAAAGAGCGAAGACCCATAGCGGTAAAACGTGCACAGCCTCAACCAGCTCAGACCCCAGCATCGCAAGGAACTCCACCATCAACCGCAAACAGAAAGAGACCGGGACCTAAACTTGCGCAACCGGCGAAGAAGAGGAAGGACGTGAGCCCAGAGCCGATGGACGATGAAGAAGATTTCTTCAAGACAGAGGGTATGGAAGAGCAGGAAGAAGCAAAGGAGATCGCAAGGAAGGATACTAAGAAACATCCCAGTAACGCTCCAGCGACCAACAGCAATACCACGGTATCCTCCAGTATCACCAAAGAAACCGAGAGCCAAACAGACACAAGCTCCGAAGACGATGCAATGTGGAAAGAAATACAGAACCACTCCGTTATCAGGGATCTACAACTCGTTGATAGGAATAACATCAATGACAAGGAAAAGAATGGCGATGGGAAGCAAGAAGATGCCAGAGTCTCAGCCTCAAGCCTAACCAAGACTATACAGATTCCGGACATCGAGGTTCGCTTCAAAATGCCTAAATTGCTACATATTCCCTCCGATGCCCATCGAGGAACGATGGACGTCTTCCCACTCTCCTTCGTCAAAGAATTTGTTCGCAATTTCAACAGAAACTACCTCGTGGGCGAAAAGAACAGAACCGCATTCCGCGACATGATCAAGAAAACGTCGGAATACGGTCTTTGTGTGCGCTGCGACGAGTATCTAGAGCAATGTCATTGGTGGAGGGCTCGGGCCCTCGCCCCCCATTATGTGTGGAAACATTGTTGCGTTGATTGTCTTGGAAAGGCAAGCTTATGTGCCAGATCCGATGAGTGGGTTGATTACAACCAGGTTGCTGGACATGGAAAGATCGTGCTCACAGTATATCCGGTTCGTTCCGATGTCTTCGTCGGAGCAGGTTGGCGAACTATAGGCTTCTGGGTAGGAACTCAAGATCGTTGAAGGCTATCTACGATGAAACAACGTCAGCGAGGATTTGAGGAGTTTCTGGTGTCTGTGGCGAGTGCGTTTTTTGATTGCATATCCACGACAAGCCGATGTGGTCCAACGATCGCAAGTGAGCGACTGCTGGAAACATATGGTCATTCTTCGGGCGGTTTCTATTGCGTTCCATCTTTACGCGGCTTCCATCACCCCTCCCCCAAAAGCGAATAGGCGTTACCAACTTGTGGCTTAGCCTGCATCCTCTGCTCAGTCTTCTTCTTCTTCCTCTCGCCTTCCCTCATCTGCCTCTTCTTCTTCTTATTCGACACCTGCTCGCTTGGTACTTCCACACCAGCAGATCTATATATCTCTTCAATCAATTCCTTCAACTTGTCGTGTTCAGCCAGAATGCGCTTTGCCTGCCCCGGTACACCCATGACCTCCGGTATCGAGGGAAAGTCGGACATGTGATTGGCGATCTTGGACATGGTCTTGCGCAGCCTGGCGTTATCGATATCTTGTTGGTCCAGGGAGTCTATTATGGGGTCAGGTGCGAACATTGCCTCCGCGACTTTGATCATTTGGAGTAACATGCGAAGAGAGTAGAGACCGGCATGCAACCTAGCCGTAAGGTGTACAAAAGCCCAGCTGTTATCGAAGTCGCAATTCAGCACGCGCTGGACCAAGGGTATGGGAGGCGGCGTGTTGAGTTCGGTAAGCACTAGACTGAGACCAAAGAGCGACCATAGGAGCTCTGAGCTGACGGACTTCTCGTCACCCCATGATCTCAGGCTGCGCATCTGCGACTCCAGGTTATCGACTCGGCTCTGGTCAAAATGCCGAGTGTATATGGGAACTTCCTGGACTGATACTCCTTGCGCTTTTCTTCTGTACTCTTGTACCACCGTATACTCCATTGTCGGAAGTAGCGTATAAGCCAGTTTACGGATGTAGAACCCTATATTCCATGCTGATGCCTGGGATGGCTCTTCTGTAAGTAAAGGCATATATACCTGTGGAAATTCGGCCTTGTCCAAAGTTTGGTGCACATATTCAGATAGGCGGACGTCGATCCGAGGCGGATCTACCAAGTCTGGATCATGGAGGTAAACAGGCGTTGGAGCCTTCGTGATGTAGCGGCTGGCAAAGTCGATGTACCGGGCAGACATCTGGTCTACATCTTGAGCTTGGTGCGCTAGCAGCTTCGCACTATCTTGTGGGTTCTCGATAAGAGTGTATGCGAATGTCACTAGGCTCGTCACTTGTAACTGCTTTCGGATCTCGGCTGGAGAGTACGCCTTGAGACCAGTAGAGATGTTTGCATCGTGGAGAAATACGATCAGCGTGTCCACCGAATAGTTGTACAGAATAAGGTCGGTGTCGCTCGTGAAGATGATGGATCGCAAATGTTCTTTGGCATGCGACGCGCACCAGTCGTCTGCTTCTCCCGGTACCGTATGGGTCTTTGAAGCAAAGGGTGAATCTGAATCTACTAGCGCTTCTTGCAGTGCGGGCGCAAGGAACGCGTATGAGATGGAGCCTAGGTATGTGGGTACAGGGCAGGAAACGGTAGCATAGTTATTGCGGAATTGCTGCACTCGTCTGTTGTTCGCCTCGGTCCTGGATATCCTCTCGGCTCGCTTTGACGTAGGCAAGGCTCCATCGAAGTAGATGGCAGACCTGAGAACGTGCGATCAGCAATGGACGGCATAAGCTCACATCAGCACTCGCATAACGTGCATAGAACGGTCACGGTCAAGTGCAATCAAGCAACTTTCCCATCTCGACTCCGCGATAAGTGAAGTTTTCTCGACCCCTGCAGCAATGGCGGTGAAGTGAAGAACATATGTGCGCACCTTATTGGCTTGCCGTGGTGGTTCCGTGTCCGGGCGCTGAAAAGCAACTGTGGTTTACTCACACCTTGATGTTGCTGTTCTCCAACGAGGTCAGCCAGCGGAGTGCTTCAGCGACGATGTCTGCATAAGACGGGATTCGGGTGGCGCTAGCGGCGGAAGCGAGGGCCAATTTGTGAGCGTAGTAGGCGAGCGCAGGGCCGTCTATCACGGCAGAGTAGCCGTCTAGCTGCTCGGAGGAAAGCCGCGTCGCATAGGGTTCGAGACGCCTAGCAAGGCCCTGGATGCCCATTTTGACCAGGTGGTTGAGGGTGTTGGAAGGGAAGGTGTGTTCTAGTCGAGACGGAAGGAACGATGGTATGCACACGGCCAGGGTACCCCCGCAAAGGGTCTGGGGCGAAGCGAGGCGGGGAGTGGTCAGTCAGGAGTGTTGTGCAGTGTCTCGGCCTCAGATGCAGGGCTAGTGCATGGGCGCAGCGAGTGTTGGGACGTTGACGAGAAAAAGTCGTCGATGATAGCCAGCGTGGCGTTGGTCTTTCCGCTGCTGAGCTAGCGCCGGCGTCATCCCGCGTGGTGGGGGAAGCTGGGCCCTCACCAGCTCAAAAGTTGCCAGCTGCCACATCGCCCGACTCTCCAATTGCCTCATCTTTCTCTCACAGAGCTCGAAGAACACACACAGTCAATATGAGCGTCCGAACCGTTGAATTGAAGCCTTTCCAGGACCAGAAGCCCGGAACGTAAGTTCAACATCCCTGCAACAGCTGGGAGGTCTGGTGAAGCTATGGTGTCGATGGATGATAGCTGACATTAATTGCTACAGTTCTGGTCTCCGCAAGAAGGTCAAGGTCTTCCAACAGGAGCACTACTCAGAGTCCTTCGTTGCCAGCATCCTTCAGTCTATTCCCGAAGGTGTCGAGGGCGCATTCCTCGTCGTTGGTGGTGATGGCCGTTACTGGAACCCAGAGGTCACCCAGACCATTGCTAAGATGAGCGCTGCCTATGGCGTCAAGAAGCTCCTCATCGGCCAGAATGGCATCATGAGCACACCCGCTGCCAGTCACATTATCCGGATACGCAAGGCGACGGGTGGTATCCTCCTAACTGCCAGCCACAACCCCGGTGGTAAGTCCTCCACTACGCATACACTCCTCCTACCTAACACAACCAGGCCCCGATGAGGACTTCGGTATGAAGTACAACCTTGCAAACGGTGCCCCGGCCCCCGAGAGCGTCACCAACAAGATCTACGAAACCTCCAAGACCCTCAGCTCGTACAAGATCGCCGACATCCCCGACATCGACCTCAGCACCATCGGTACACAAAAGTACGGAAACCTCGAGGTTGAGATCGTCCACTCCACTGAGGACTACCTCAAGATGCTCAAGGACATCTTCGACTTTGACCTCATCAAGTCGTTCCTGAAGGAGCACTCCGACTTCAAGGTCCTCTTCGATGGCCTGAGCGGTGTAACTGGTTCCTACGGTGTCGACATCTTCGAGAAGGAGCTCGGCATCCCCAACAGCACACAAAACTGCGTCCCCAAGCCCGACTTTGGTGGCCACCACCCCGACCCCAACCTTGTCTACGCCAAGTCGCTGGTCGACGCCGTTGACAAGAACGGAATCCAATTCGGTGCTGCCAGCGACGGCGACGGTGACCGAAACATGATCTACGGCGCAAACTCTTTCGTCTCGCCCGGTGACAGCTTAGCCATCATCGCACACCACGCCGAGCTCATCCCATACTTCAAGAAGCAGGGCATCTACGGTCTTGCCCGTAGTATGCCAACCTCTGGCGCCATTGACCTTGTCGCTAAGAAGAAGGGTGTCGAGTGCTACGAGGTGCCCACCGGCTGGAAGTTCTTCTGCGGTCTCTTCGACTCTGACAAGATGAACATCTGCGGTGAGGAGAGTTTTGGAACCGGCAGCAACCACATCCGTGAGAAGGATGGTCTGTGGGCTGTCGTTGCCTGGTTGAACATCTTGGCTGGTGTCGGACAGCAGACTGGTACCACACCCAGCATTGCGTCGATCCAAAAGGACTTCTGGACGACCTACGGCCGCACATTCTTCACCCGCTACGACTACGAGGGCTGCGAGACCGAGGGCGCTAACAAGGTCACCGCTCACATGAAGGAGCTTATCACCACCAAGAAGGACGAGTTCATCGGCTCCACCGTCGCTGGTCGCAAGGTGCTTGAGGCCGACGACTTCTCCTACACCGACCTCGATGGTAGCGTCAGCAAGAACCAGGGTATCTTCGTCAAGTTCGACGACGGTAGCCGCATCGTCGTTCGTCTGTCCGGCACAGGCAGCAGCGGCGCCACCATTCGTCTCTACATCGAGAAGCACACCAGCGACGAGTCGACATACGACATGGACGCGCAGGACTACCTCAAGGACAACGTCAAGCTCGCGACGGATCTCCTCAAGCTCCAGGAGTACGTTGGCCGCACCGAGCCCGATGTCAAGACCTAAGCGCGTTATTGGAACGGGGAACGCGTAGATGTAATAAGCATGATTAGACGAAATGTACACGAGATATCACAATAGTATCATAGCACCAATAAATGGAATAGCATGGTTCACTGCCCCGTGGCGATAATGTTGTTCGTCATGACCTCTTTGTGTTTGGGCGGGTGTGTGGCTTAGCTCCGACGTCATTGCCCAATCTAAACATGCTCCGTCCGCAGCGTCTCCATAACAGCCCTCTGGTCCCCACTGCGAAGGTCCCTAGTCTTCGACAACCCCCGCCTTTCACACATCCCTACACGCGCGTCTACACCTGTCGACGCTTTCTTGTCACTTCTCTCACCTCTTCAGATCATCCCTAGCACACGTGCATCGCAATCATGGCTGAGAAAGAAGGATCGGCAGTGCCACCCCAGGCCAGAGGCTCATGGACGAGCTTCCTCAAGGTATGTAATTATCCCAGCATCCTCACGTGTCTAGAGATATTCGCGCATAGCGATTAGGCTCGTACCTTCAGGAATTATGGTGGTTCGACTCGAACATGGCATTTGACTGATACACGATAGTCCATCGCGTCCTTCAATGGCGACCTGTCCACGATGACGGCGCCTGCCTTCATTCTCTCCACAAAGTCCCTCACCGAGTTCTCGTACGTCTCAGTCATTACCACCGCCTAGAAGACAACCCTAACCCACAACAGCTCATACTGGACCGAACACCCCTCCGTCTTCGTCGCACCGGCCGCCGAGAAGGACCCTGCCAAGCGGGCCATGCTGGTGCTGAAGTGGTTCCTGAGCACACTGAAGCAGCAGTACGCCAGTCGGTCGGAAAAGCTGGGTAGCGAGAAAAAGCCTCTGAACCCCTTCCTGGGCGAGCTCTTCCTGGGCAAGTGGGAGGACCAGGCAGGCACAACACAGCTCGTCAGCGAGCAAGTCAGGTACGCGCACACACGCGTTTGCGATGGCTAAGCCTGTCGTAAGCATGCCATGCGTATAGTACGGAAGAGCTAATGCAATGCGCGCAGTCATCATCCACCCGTCACGGCTTACTCCATCTGGAACGACCAACACGGCGTCCGGCTAGAGGGCTACAACGCGCAGAAGGCGTCCTTCAAGACCACCATCAATGTCAAGGTAATTACCCTTAGTACCTTTGATGTACACCGCTGACATTTCACAGCAAATCGGACATGCCATGCTCCACCTCGACAACTACAACGAAAGCTACCTCATCACCCTCCCCGCCCTCCACATCGAAGGCCTCATCACAGGTTCCCCTTACGTCGAGCTCAACAGCAGCACCTACATCCAATCCTCCACCGGCTACACCGCGCGCATCGACTACAGCGGCAAGGGCTGGGTCTCCGGAAAGAAGAACTCGTTCACCGCCGTGCTATACCCCGAGGGCAAGGAGAAGGAAGCCATCTACAAGGTCGATGGCCAATGGACCGACTCGTTCCAGATCAAGGATGCCAAGACCAAGGCCGTCGTCGACACATTCGACCACAAGTCCACAAAGACAACGCCCCTCACCGTCGCCGCCATCGAGCAACAAGACGACTTCGAGACACGGCGCGCGTGGAAGAAAGTGTCAGATGCGATTAACAGTGGCAACATGGACCTGACAAGCGCGGAGAAGACCATCATCGAGACCCGCCAGCGCGAGATGCGACAACAGGAGAAGGACGCTGGGAAGGAATGGGAGCGCAAGTTCTTCTCAAGAGCACCAAAGTACCCGTTGTTTGAGCAGCTGGCCAAGAAGATCGGTGAGGGTATCAACGATGGGCAGACGAATGGTGTGTGGAACTTTGACAAGCAGAAGGCGGATGCGGCGAAGAGTCCGTTCCATCCGGATGTTGTGCCGCCGATTTATGAGAGAAAGTGAGACAGGACCTCTTCCAGCACACACGTGGTGTCTCTTCGATCGTAAGGGATGAGTATAATAATGCTGTTCGGCACACTAGAATCAAACGGAAGCCGGTCGGGCTTGAGACAAAATCGCAGTACACGGGCACCAGCGACTCGTGGAGAATCATGCTATTTGAGCCATGACGGAAACGGCGCAATAGCCTGACGAGGATCTCTTTCATTGCTACAAGTAGTTCTAGTATAACGAGGGAAGGAAACACATGAGTCTCGCATTGTTGAAGTTTGACCCTAATTTACATGTTGGTGATGATACAGATACGTTTACACATGCACTGGCGGAGTTTGACTGCTGGTTCAGCTATTGTGACGCGTCTTTTGAATCCGTCCTTTTATCATTCCCATGTCGCTGCCAGCATTGTCGGAAGATTTCCATCTACACATAACGTTAGATTTGTTGTCTGAACATGACCTTACTTCTTTTGGTGATTCCTCGGCTTCTGCAAGTCCAGACGCCAGAAGCAACAACGCTGGTTGACAAAACTTACCTCCTGCTTACACGCCCGCCAGTCTTTCTTTTCGTAGTAACAATCCGTCAATTTTGTGTTCTCGTCTGCGCAGCCTGTGCTGTAGATACGCTTGTCCCTGGTTGTTCTCGTTAGTCTACCGAGCTTCTATTCGCTTTTCAACTTCTGCTCCTCGCTTCCCCGGATCTCCGCATCTACGCAAACCGAAAAGCTGGAAATTCTGTACGCACCAGTCATCGGGTTCATCGTCAATCAACAATTGCGCTGCTGCTGCGCGGGATTTGTCTTCGTTTGACATACTTCAAAGAGTTGGATAGAGGATTTGAGACACGTGGTGTGAAGATATCGAGTTGCGGAAACTTGCGCAGGGTCTTGTCATTGAGAGAGTTGATTTGAGCACGGTCGGCCAATCTCGGTCCGCACTGCTACTAAACGTCACCTTCAGTCAGCATACGAATCCCACATCGCATATCAATATCGCAAACATCATGGCGAGCAAAAAGATGAATGTGCTGGTATACTCCGGTACGCCATCTCCAACCTTCTCACACCCCACCAAGATTACTAACCCCGCCCAGGAAACGGCAGCACCACAGAGTCCGTCCGCCACTGCCTCTACACTCTACGGCGCCTCCTATCCCCATCTTACGCCGTCATCCCCGTAACAGGCGACACCCTCATCAAAGAACCCTGGTTCAGCACATGCGCTCTACTCGTCTTTCCCGGCGGCGCCGATCTAGGCTACTGTCGCACACTCAACGGCGAAGGCAACCGCCGGATTAGTCGGTATGTAAACGCCGGTGGTTCTTATCTCGGTTTCTGCGCCGGAGGATACTACGGTAGCAGTAGATGTGAATTCGAAGTAAACGACCCCAAAATGGCTGTTGAAGGAGAGAGGGAACTGGGTTTCTTTCCTGGGACGTGTAGGGGATTGGCGTTTGAGGGGTTCAAGTATGCGAGTGAAGCTGGGGCGAGGGCGGCGGAAATTAAGATTGAGAAAGGTGCTTTTGAGGGTGTTGATGAGGGGGTAGGCGATGTGTTCAAGAGCTATTATAATGGTGGGGGTGTTTTCGTTGATGCAAAGAAGCTGGAGAGTAGGGGAGTGCAGATCTTGGCGAGTTATACGGAGGACTTGCATGTTGAGAGTGGGGAGGGGAAGGCCGCGGTTGTGTATCGGAAGGTTGGTGAGGGGCATGCGGTTGTTACTGGGCCGCATCCTGAGTACGTTTGCGTCGTTCCATGTAACACGTTCTTACTAACATACCGTAGATTCGCGCCCCAAAACTTGAGCAAGATCCCCAGCTTACCTTCGTATGCTTCCGTTATCAGCGACATCGCAGCCACAGATGCCACTCGACTTGACTTCATGCGCTTAATCCTCCGCAAACTTGGGCTGCAGGTCAATGAGCAGGAACAAGCGGTACCGTCCCTTTCCCGTCTGCATCTCACCGCTCATAACCTATCAGACGTCGCTGACCTCGTCGCTACGTGGAGTGAAATCATCACTGTAGTTGATGGCGATGAGTATATTAAGGGCGAGAACGATGTGTTTCGCATCGAGAAGGAGGGTAGTGCATGGAGCGTCAAGGAGTTGAAGAGGGCTGTTAGCGCTGTGTCGGAGAAGCTGCCTACTCTTGCTTCTGTTACTAACAGTAGCAAAGAGAGTGTTGAAGAACAAACTCGAGAAAAGGAGGACGATAACAAGAAGAAACCCAAAACACCAGAGGAGGAGATACAGGAATGTGTCGCGTACACCTCCGCCACCTCCCCCGACCAAATCGTATCCTACGAGAAGATCGTGAAGGTCATAATGCCTCACGAGAAGGCTTTGCCATCAGCTGAAGAGACGAAATTCCACCACGAATCCTTCTACGCAAACCTCCACCACTACCACACCAAGCTCCGCAACCCGAACGCTTCCTTCGGCAAACACCTCATCTACGGCGAAGTCGTAACATCCACTAACACGCTCCTCGAGAAGAACCCGTCTTTATTACGCAGCCTCCCCAACGGCTTCACCATAACAGCAACCACGCAAATCGCGGGTCGCGGCCGCGGAAACAACGTCTGGATCGCGCCGCCGGGGGCGCTGATGTTTAGTACCGTGCTGCACCATTCCTTCACGCTGAGTCAGAGTGCGCCCGTGGTGTTTGTGCAGTATCTTGCTGCACTGGCTATCGTCCAGGGCATACAGAACTACGCGCCGGGCTACGAAAAAATACCCGTGAAGCTAAAATGGCCAAATGATATCTACGCGCAGTTACCTGGTTCTTCGAATAACCCCGTTGTCAAAATCGGAGGCATTCTGGTGAATAGCAGTTATTCGGGGAGTACGTATGATGTCGTCACAGGCATTGGACTCAATCTGAGTAATGCGGCGCCGACTACGAGTCTCAACCTCCTCGCCAAGTCTCTGAACCCGCCGTTGAAGGACTTTACGGAGGAGAAGTTGCTGGCGAGTATACTTGCGCATTTTGAAACCCTCTACTCCACATTCACACAATCCGGGTTCACGCGCGAGATGGAAGAATTCTACTACGCCAACTGGCTTCATACGGACCAATTGGTTACACTGGAGAGTGTGGATGGGGTGGAGACGGGGATGAAGGCGAGGATAAAGGGGATTACGCGTGATTGGGGGTTGTTGCTTGCAGAGGAGATGAGGGAGGTGGATGGACGGGGGACGGGGAGAGTGGTGCAGGTGCAGAGTGATGGGAATAGCTTTGATTTCTTTAGGGGGTTGGTTAGGCGGAAGGTGTGACGTGTGGGGAGTGAGGAGGTTGGATGTGGATGTTGATGAATCGATTTGATGGTTGATGAGAGACTTGTGTTGTTGTGAGTTGGGTTCTTTACAGCGCTGGTGGAAGAATGGTCTCGCCCTAGAAAATATTACCGGCATCGATCATGAGATGAATGATATGTATGTCATGTATTGTGGGCCAGACATATGTCCAGATACCCAGTATAGACGTCCGTAACCTATACCCTTTCCATGTTGATGCTAGATCCCTGACAGTCAAGTGTAAACCTCCGTGTATCCCATGCTAACCATGTCTAAGCCAAAACATTCTTTACCAGAGAACTCCTGCAGACATCTCTCAAGTCCAGTGGTCAGCCACAGTGAAAGCATCCGCTCAGCACTGAAGGTTGCAAGCCTTGCACCTGCCATCATAGGCATTGCAGACATCGTTGTGGCACTTGGCGTAGCAGTTCCTGTCGCAGTTACCCTATCAAAGCACTATCATCAGTAAACCCCTTCTAGCAAATAGCTCGAAATCCAGATAAGACTTACCGCACGACACCCATTATACTGCTCATGACACATCTTACACACATCCCCGCTAGCCATGCAAGTAGGACCCGGCTTCATAACACACTGCTGACCCTTGGGGCACGACCACTTCTTCTGCCAGCAGTGGTCCTTGCACTCGAGGAGGTCGCCGTTGCCGCGGTTGCAATACTCGGCGCCGTTGTTGAAGCACTTGTCGCATTTGTCGGAGGCGAAGATGGGGAGAGTGAGCATGAGGATGCTGAGGAGAAGGAAGACGAAGTGGAGGGGGGATTTCATTTTGGTGTTGAGAGTGGATTCTGGTTGGAGTGGTGTATGAATTGGTGTTTTGGACGGCTGAGTTTGGGGATGGATGGTTGAGTGATGGAGGAGAAGGAAGGAGATGAGGAGAGCTGTAGGGAGGGGATTATATATGCTACCGCAGGCTTGAAAAGGTAAGAGATGTTGTTTGGGCGTCGGTGTGGCTACGGAGACGTCAGGAGACGAGGAGAAGCGGTGGAGAGCCTGGCATAGCCTGCCTTCACCTTTACTTGGGCGTTTGAAGCCACTTTGATCTTACAGGTGGTTAGCAAGAGCGGTGGAGGAGGCGGCATCCTTCACCTTGACCTTGCCTTTTCGAGCCAATGAGCCGAAGCTGTAAGTACATCATCAGTTCTCGTTTGCCGAAACGTCACCGAAGGGCTACAATGCATCAAAATCTAGTATATCCATCAGAAGTCTCCAGTACAACTATCTCTCTTATAGAACCATGTCATATCGATGTCAAATCTGAATAAAACAACGCGCACTCCAGTATACCAACTATTCAGCCATTTGAATATCCACAAATCCATTTCCAGAGACCAGTCAAGCACACACCTACCATATGTCCTCCCGCCCCAACAACTTTGACTACCCCCGCCCTCCTAAACCCCCATTCGTCATCTCACTCCACCCACCCCCTTCCCCTCCCCACAAAGCCCTCCCCCCAACAAATCCTCACCACATTAATAACCGCCCCCACACTCTCCCGGATAATTCGGATTCATCTCAGGAGGATAGATGCATTCCCCATCTTTACACTTGCCGCACGAGCAGACAATGTACGATTCCCAAAAGCCTGCAGAGGTAGAGGTACGAAGTCAGTATATGTCTCACATGTCCTTCGTACAGCCGGGACTTACCTTCATTGGTGCAATGTGAAAGGGTGTAGTCGTCCTCTCTGCTGCAGCGATCTGGTGCACCGGGCGTGCACTTAGGGCCACGTGCGTCATTGGCGAGAACGGGCAGTACGATCGTGAGGAAGGCGAAGAAGGTGGGGATGAGGTATGTGGTTGACTTCATGTTGTTGATGGTTTTGGTGAGGAGTTGTCGTAGTAGTAGTTGTTGTTGGGTCGGAATTTGTTGTGTAGTGATGGAGATGTTGTGGTCGTAGATAACGAAGGAACTGTGGACATGAGCAAGAGGGCTATTATATAGGCCTTGGAGATGTTCAATGAACGCTTTACATGAAGGACAGATCATGGAGATATTGATGTGTTTGTTAAGAAGTACAGCCAACGCATCGGTTGACTCTGTGAGCATGATTTGTTCCATCAGGAAAACAGGGGGTAGCTCGTTCGTAAAACCCCTGTGAACATAACAGATCCTCCATGACAATGGGTGCCAGATGACATCACCGACTCCCCAGCTATCGCTTTCGACCGCCTTTGTCTAACGAAGCAGCTTCATCGCATCAGCCGCCACTATGCTACAGTATGCTCGAACTATTGTTTTCTGGTCAGCGAATGCCTCACCGGTGAAGTCTCGACACTTACCACATCTCTGCCAGCAGCCAGCAGCCAGCAGCCATCTATCGTCCAATGCAGTGCGCAGACGCGGTCTCGCACCACTGCGGATAAGGACACCTGTAGTTCCTCTGCCAAACACCGTTGACACAGATCTGGACCGCATGGCCACCGGGGGAGCATCGGGTTGCAGCGCGGTGAGGGCATCTGTCTGGCTTTGATCCTGAGGTGGCGAGAACGGGTGCGGTGATCGTGAGCAGGGCTAGGATGGCGGAGAGAGTGTATCTGAATGACTTCATAGTGTTGACGTTGACGTATAGGTTCCTGAGGTAGGTGCGACGGGGGATCTAGGTATAGACAGTGGGAGGAAAGTGCAGCTGCAGGTAGCGGAATGAAGGAAGACAGCTGAAGGTCTGAAGATGCAGAACTTGCGCGAAAGTGAGTACTGTTTGTGCGTACGTGAAGCTACCTAGGTAAGAGAACTGGTGATGAGTTTTGTTTCGTCAGTGGCATGACGACGCGATGCACGTTTACTCGGCTCTTGCACATGAGGCAGGTGCGGTCGACCCGACCCTCGAAGTGAGAGCAGATGTGGCTTTCCAACGCTGGAGACACCTAAAGCGGATTTCAAGACGATACTTTACGCGCTGGTCTCCGGAAGGGCCTCAATTTACCGGCCTCGTTCAATTATCATCGAGTCTCGGGCGTGTTGTAGATTGTCTGGACGCATGTGCAGGCGATTGTCATTACTGAGGTTGGCATGCATATCACGACGATCTCGTCGTGCAGAGCTAAGATCTCGAAATCATATTTTCCGTGCATGGCCGGGCTCGTCCAGATATCGTTGTTGTTGTCGTCGCGTGCGACGTCCATCATGAGCTCGAGTCGTCCCTCCCCAACCCACTAGCCCCTCTTGGCGAACAAGGGTCTCTCCGCGCATCGCGAATTTCCAATCCAACCATCACCACCAACACCAACAACCCACCTCCGCCTTGCCCCCGCCATTGCGCCTCACACAACACCCACAATGAACCTCTCCGCATTCCGACCGGTCTTCCGACCATACAAACCCACCCAAATCACGCAAGCGACAAACATTTGGCAAAGAACCGCACAATGGACATGTCCGCAGCAGCAGCAAAAGTCGCAACGAGCAGCCTTCTCATCGACACCGAATTTGCAGAAGAGGAGTAAAAAGGGACCGGGGAATGATCCTAGGATAAGTACGTCTCTCCCCTTCCTACCTCCCCATCAGACCTGCCCCCTCCCATTCGATCCAATCCAATCCAATCCACCCACCCATCACCATAAAACCCCAGCTAACACCCCCCTAGCAAACATCCGCTACCATCTCTCCCACCCCCTAACCCCCCGCCCCCTCCACTTCTCCCGCAACCGCTCCCTGCGCCACTGGACCATCCACCGCGCGTGGCTGCTCTTCCTGCGCAAACGTCGCTGGGCCGAAGAACGCGTCTTAGAAAGGCAATACATGGCCATGCGATCTGCATGCGAACACCTGCGCCTCATGGACAACAACGGTAATCTTGTGAAGGAAGAGGAGGCTGGAGGTAGGGGCGCGGATCCGAGTCGATTGGGAAGCAAGGGCAGGGAGGTGGGTAGGTTGTATCGCAGTGCGATGCTTAAGAGGGGGATTTGGGGGAGTGTGCCCGTGGAGTATGGGAGGGTGCAGACGGATTTTCCGGCGAGGGAGGGGTGGAATCATGGGTGGACGAGGGATTAGAGACTCGTGAGAATGCGTTGTGTTGGACGGACGTGGATGCAATGATGGGATTGTACAATATGTATATAGCAAAAAAGCGGTCGATGTCGTCATTAGCATCTTGTATACATTCATTACCGTCACGTTCCTCAGAGACAACGAGAAGTATGCGTGTAAAATCTCATTGGTAGATTACTGTCTTCTAGTTTACTGAGCGTGCCCATCATTCCTCTCTCAAGAATATACAACTGAATTGCCAAAAGGAGGAGCCGAAATGAGTGGATGATGATGGCGCGTTCTCGTCAATCATTAAGCCAACATCTTTCGAATGGATAAGCCAACGTATGTTTCCGCCTCGGCTTCCAACGCAGCATCAGAACAGCCAGTCTTTTTCTCTTTCCAGCTCAATCAATCAAAGACCAAGAACAAAAAAGGTTATGTGTAATGCAGTTATAAGCGCTCAAACAAGCAGTCAAGACAAAAAAGATCGCCCAGGAAGAACAAGTAGAAAAGAATTGAGAATGAGAAAAATTGAAGGCCCCAAATATATCGTACCAACTCCAGTTTGTCGTGACTCCGCCCAATGCAGTGTGTGTGATATGAAGATAAGAAGAAGATATAAGATGCAAGAGAGACGGTTTCTCAAAAGTCTCACAGGACAACGCATCCGCACCCGGGATTCTCCTTCTTATCCACACTCAGCAGCGCCGCCCTGGTCGCCGCTTCAAAAACATCGTCCACGCCATCCCCTGTCAGGGAACTACATTCGAGGTATTTCCTCGCGCCAATCATATCCTTCATATCGGCGCCTTGTTTCGGTGTCGTAAACCTCAAGCTCTTCTTGCGCATTTCTTCCTGTGCGAGGGGGTCGTCGCGGAGATCTTTTTTCAGGCCGACGAGGATAATGGGGACGGTGGGACAGCGTTCGCGGGCCTCCTCTGCCCACTTGTGCTTAACGTTATCGAGGGAGTCGGGGGAGTCGACGCTGAAGCCGATGAGGATGACGTGGGCTTTGCTGTAGGCGAGGGGACGGAGGCGCTCGTAGTCTTCTTGGCCGGCTGTATCCCATAGGGCGAGTTGCACGGACTTGCCGTCTACTCTACAGTCGGTGACGTAGTTTTCAAAGACGGTTGGGACGTAGCGCTAATGACGGGTTAGGATATTGGGAAACGGCTTATCGGTCGATGTATTGGACGTACTGTTGGAAAATATCCGAGAGTGAAGACGCTCAGAAGACTAGTCTTGCCGCAAGCACCGTCGCCAATAATGACCAACTTCCTAAAGGCACAAGATCAGCATGCTGTGTGGGTGAAGGGTGCATGGTGTGACAGCGTCGGCGTGACCGAGAGTGGATGTCGGCGCAAACAAGAGGATGAAGTGCAGTGCATGACCAAAAAGAGGAAGAATTGAGCGCGAGTCGATAAAAAGTGGACATGGGGGACATGTAGGGTGGCCTATTTTTAGTTGGTCGTGTCGTCGGACCGGGTGCGCCAATGCAAGCTATGGCGCAAAACCGGGGTGCCTCAGCTCCAGTCTTGATCATGCCATTGCAAGAGAAAACAGAATGAATGGAGAAATCGGAGAAACTGATGGGTAGACGCAGATTTGGTGTCGTCAAAAGAGAGTCGGACGGAAGGAAATAACGTTGGGAAAAGCAATTGCGCGCGTAAGAAAACGGTCGTGAGAGATCGACATGAGATAAGTTTTGACCAGGGTCCAGAAAGTGAAGATCAAACGTACCTGCGCATTACAGGCTCGCCATTCTGCTGCTGCTGGGCCATTGTGGGGGTGTG